TCTTGCTCAGGCTGGTCTCAAACCTGTGAGCTCAGGCAATCCACCCGCCTCAGCCTCCTAGAGTGCTAGAATTACAGTTGTGAGCCACGGCGCCCAGCTTGAAACTTTAGTTTTAAAAAGCTCAAAGGTATACACCTCAGCTGCTTGTCCCAGCTACATTTAGTTCCACCTTCGCCCATTTCTACCCCCTCCTCTTTTGCTAATTGTAGGGATCAGGGCGAAACCTGTCCTTTCCCCTTGCTCTGGTCCGCTGAAAGATCAACTCACAATTACGGTAGTTTAATAAGAGAAAGGTTTATTTCTAAATACCATGTGCATGGGGGGAACCACAAGAATGATCACCCAACGGCTCAGTGAGAGTCAGAGACTTTATAGATGCCTTTTGGAAGGGAGAGGGGAGAGTGTGGAAAGTACACCGTGTAGCACATGGTTGCTGGGGGATGTGTGTAGATGAGTGGAAACTGATTTATTTATAGATTAACCTGACAGGCAGGTCTCCTGCTTCAGATGACCCTGGAGCCAGGTCTCTTAGCCTATAATAAGGAAGTCAGCAGCTCCTTATTTGATTCTCAATCAGGTTACTCAGGTTTCATGCAGATAGAGGAAAGGCCTGATCATGAATGTCCTTTCATTCAAAATATTCTTTATACCAAGTAGTCATATTTGGGGGCAAAATTTCCTTAGCTCCTTCACAATCATGGAGTTTTGGCCAATAAAGGCAGCCAGCTTATAATAGGTAAATTAAATGCTGAGCTGTAACCAATCCAGCTAGCTGTGTTTCTGTACCTTACCTCTATTTTTTTCTTTTTCTGGCAGTTTTTGGCCAGGGCTGGGTTTTGAACCCACCACCTCTGGCATGTGGTGCTGGCACCTTACTCCTTTGAGCCACAGGCGCTACCCCCCTTATTTCTATTTCTATAATCACTTTCTTTTTTCTGTCCGTGAAGTTTCTTCAACCACAGTACATCACAGAATCTCTCTGAACCTGTTCTAGTTCAGCTGCCCCATTTGTGAATTGCTCTTTGCTCAATTAAACTGTGTTAAATTTAATTTTTATTAAAAGTGAATTCTGAGGCCAGGCGTGGTGGCTCATGCTTGTAATCCTAGCATTCTGGGAGGCCAAGGCTGATGGATCTCTTGAGCTCATGCTGGTCTCAAGACCAGCCTGAGCAAGAGTGAGACCCTGTCTCTACTAAAAATAAAAAACCGAGGCAAGGGGATCGCTTGAGCCCAAGAGTTTGGGGTTGCTGTGAGCTATGACGTCACGGCACTCCACCAAGGGTGACAAAGTGAGACTCTGTCTCCAGAAAACAAAATAAAAACAAAACCAAAACAAAAGTCAGTTCTGAGCTAGAGCTCCCAGAGACCCCTAGGAGCACCGGGGTACCTGCTGGACCTGTCGCCCTTTGCTTTCTTATTACAACTGAGCCCTGTGGCTAAGTTCTCTCTCAGATGCCAAAGCGCTACAGATTCGTGTTTCAAGCTCTCTGAGTTTACTTGCGCAAGGTTTTGACCCTAAATGGGTTCAAAAGTCATAAGAGAAACTAAACTAGGTCTGGGATCAGATTGGACTCAATAATTAATTAGCTTAGATCAATTTAGAGGCCTCAAATGTCTGACCGGATGAGGCAGAAATTTATCGTCAATGACAGGCTACAGGGTGTGGAAACTCCAACTTTCAGGAATTTATTTGCTGAGATTTCTGAGTTCTATCCCTTTGCTCCTTTTTCTTCTGCTCTTGGGCAAGGAAAAAAACAATCATCGTCTGAGTTGTTCATAGAGATCTGAGAACCCACACCAAGACTGAAGGTTAAAAAACAGGATCTTTAATCTCTGAAGAACTGAATATTCTCCTTTCTGGCTTTTTCTGTGTACAGGTTTAAGTATTAGGCCCCCGAAGTGGCAAACACTTACAGAAATGACAAAATCTGGCTTGGCGCCCATAGCACAGTGGTTACGGCGCCTGCCACATACACCGAGGCTGGTGGGTTCAAACCCAGCCCAGTTCTGCTAAACAACAATGACAAGTGCAACAAAAAATAGCTGGGTGTTGGGGTGGGCTCCTGTAGTCCCAGCTACTTGGGAGGCTGAGGCAAGAGAATCATTTCAGCCCAGGAGTTTGAGGTTGCTGTGAGCTGTGACGCCACAGCACACTACCCAGGGCGACAGAGTGAGACTCTGTCTCAAAAAAAAAAAAGAAAGAAATGACAAAGTCTTACTACAGGCAAAATTGTTGCCTAGCTAGTGATTACTTAAAACAATAAAATAGGTAATTAGAAGATTGATAGTCTGAATAAAAATAGTAATATGTAAGAGCTGGTAAATAAAAATGCTTTGCAAGAGCTATTAAAACTGCTTCTGTCGGGGATGGTGCCTGTGGCTCAAAGGAGTAGGGTGCTGGCCCCATATGCCGGAGGTGGCGGGTTCAAACCCAGCCCTGGCAAAAAACCCCGAAAAAACAAACAAACAAACAAAACTGCTTCTGTCTGTACATCTGTATGTTGGTGTGTCTGTTTGTATGTGATATTTCACTACCAGAAGATATAAAAAGAGCTCTAACTAATGAACTTAAAATAAAAAGCACTTACTTCAAGTATTTTATCAGGAAGATAGAAACTAATTCAAATGATTTTTAGTTCACATGACCTTAAAAATACAGCAATTGACCTCTGCTCAGCTTTCTTTTCAATTTTGTTGTACTCTGACGACCTGTTTCTAAATTTCTGCTGACACGCCTATTGCCAAGGACGCGTAATATCAGATAGATTGTGTATTTGGGCCAAACAGGGTTCCTAGGACCCCTTTTAACTTCAAACTGCACTTATCTCCCCTTGCATGGAGTATATGTGCAAATGGGGGATAATTAAGAAAAAAAATATAGTTGGTACTGCACAAGGGAGCTATTGCGTTCTGATCAAATCATTTCCCAGTGTACTGTTTGTAAATCTCACCAAGTCTCTGGAGAACGGCTGCCAAAGGCCCAGACTGTTCCTTTTAGCACTCCAAGTTGATTTTCTAGATTTACCTCCAGCCTTGGGTTTTTCTTACTGTTTGATTATTATTTACTGGATTAGTGGATGGACTGAATCCTATCCAACTAGGCGTGCAGATGCTAGACAGTGGCAAAGAAATCAGTAACTGAGATTATTCCTTGTTTTGTTAATCCCTTTATGGATTGAGTCAGCTCAAGGGACTCCTTTGAAACCACTTGCTTGCAGAGGCTCTGGGGTACTCATTAAAATTTCATACCCCACATCACCCCCAATCCTCAGGGCAAGTGGAAGGTAAAAATTTAGAAGTAAAGAGGATGTTAGCAAAAGCCTGTCAAGACATTGGACTTAAATGGCCAGAAGTATTACCTTTGGCCCTTATAAAAATCCTGGCTGCTCCAATGAGGCGACATGGGTAAACCCCTTTTGAAGCAGTGTTCTGTCACCCTGTGCCTACTGACACCCATAAACTTTCTCTTCCTGGACTGCCTAAACACTACGGGGATTTAAGTGAACATTCAGCAACCTGGCTGGCTATATGCAAATGATAACTAATATGCTTGCAGCCTGTTATTGATAGGTAAAGGGAGCCTGGCCTCCACCAACGGACAGGTCTTGCCATCCTGTTTGACCAAGGGATGGTGTGTACATCCAAAGTTTTAGAAGAAAACATGCACTTTACCTCATTAAGAAGGCCTTGGCTCAGCGCCTGTGGCTTAAGTGGCTAAGGTGCTAGCCACGTACACCTAAGGTGGCGGGTTCCAATCTAGCCCAGGCCCGCCAAACAACAATGATGGCTGCAACCAAAAAACAGCTGGGCATTGTGGCGGGCGCCTGTGGTCCCAGCTACTTGGGAGGTAGAGGCAGGAGACTTGCTTGAGCCCAGGAGTTGGAGGTTGCTGTGAGCTGTGATGTCACAGCACTCACTACCCAGGGGGACAGCTTGAGGCTCTGTCTCAAAAAAAAAAAAAAAAAGAAGGCCTTTATAAAGTAGTATTAACTACTGAAAGAGCTAAGGAAATTTTACCTCCAAATTCGAGTCCCTGCTGTAAAGTTTATTTTAAACTGAAGGCCATTCACTGTCAAGACACACTGGAGGAGGCCTTCCTCTATCTGCGTAAACTGGACTGGCCTGATCAGAGGATTAAAGGGGACAAGTGGCTCGCCTTTCACCTTCTGTTATCCCAAAATAGTTCAGGTTAAGAATGGAGGTGAGCCTGGGTCAAATCGTTTGGGTCATAAACAGGTCTCCCAGGTTAATCTCCAAGTCAATCTATTCTTCCTCCCTAGCCATCATTCACACCCTATACGCCTCAGTTTTCCCTTCCCCTCTAAAAGGCCTGTTTAAAGATATCTAACTCCTTTGGAAACCAGAGTTATCACTCTGTGATTTATTCCTGTGCACAGGGTAAATAAATCCTTTCTCTCATTAATCTGCCTTCTCTGTAAGTTGATTTTTCAGCCAAATTTCAGGGGAAAGGGTAAGTTTCCCCTTACCTCTATGCCACCAATGCTGACATAAAAAAAAAAGAGAAAAATCTTCCTGGATTTACGTGAGCCACACTAAACTACACCAAGACAAGTGGAGGATGACACCTACAGGTGACCTAAAAGTAAGGATTTCCAGGGCCAGTTCCAGGCCCCTGAAGGACCTGGCTTCAGACAACTTTTCCCAAGATTGCAGATCAAGAAACCCCCTTTTTTCATCCATAAATTCCTTTTTAAATTTTAAGCACCCCTCCATGCTCCTTTTTTTTTTTTGGCGAGGGCTGGGTTTGAACCTACCACCTCTGGCATATGGGGCCGTTGCCTTACTCCTTTGAGCCACAGGCGCTGCCCTCTATGCTCCTTTTAAAACGCTTCTTCTTTTAAGCCTCCCCCTATAAGAACTGCACATTGGAAGCTGCCTGGCGGTTGCCTTGACCTACCCCATTCTCTCTCTAATCTTATCTACTATGACTCTTTCAAACGATGCCTTGTTCTTACGAACCCTTACTGCTTTTCCAGCAGATCAGGCACAGACCTGGCATCCTTTACACCCAGCCACGCCGAGTAATCAATCTAATTGCTGGTTATGCCACCATCTAGACCGTGCCAATGAACCTGAACTCATTTGTGTTTCTGTCAATGTGAGTGCCTGGTGGAACCAGTCTGGAAGATGGATGTATGACGAGATGTGGTGTCCACAACCAGAGAAGGAACAGCATGCTGCCTCTCCTGTCGGTGAGTCAACTGGATGCAGAAACCCTCTATGGAAACTCACAAATTATCTAAAGTCACTAAAAAGGAAAATACCCACTGAGTTGAAAACAGGGCTGAAGCTGGATCTTTTCTGGGTAACATACTGGAGCAATACCGTGATCAGGCTCTGTGATTCAATTCCACAAATGACATTCTTGCACCTCTTACAAAGATTGTGGATAGTGTTGACATAAACCCTCGTGATGTCAACAGTTGTCAAAACACCTGATATTAGGGAAGGGTCACCAGACGGTAGGCTGGAGCAACTGGGGGTAGTTCACTCTCTCCCCTTGTTAAGTTGCCAGACATGGACAATTACATCTGGCTAGACCAAAAGTCTGGGCCCTGTAACTGCCAGAACCAGAATGAAGGTCTTTGGTATCAAATGTTTTACAACGTGTTTTGTTTTCACAGATCGACAACGTGTACAACCTGGAGATGAGACGTGCCGGGGATGAGGGAGGGAAGGAGGAAGGAAGGAGGAGAGGCACAGCAAACTCTAGGCTGGGAGGCCGTGGGTTCCAGCCTGACCCTATCTGTAAATAACTCTGGCCCTTCTCTATTGTGTGTGGCAATAAAGTATACAAGTTGTCCCCACCTAGATCGTCAGGAGGCTGTGGACTTGGTTATCTGACACCCTCTGTTGCCAGGTATCTATTTAATTTAATTAATTAATTAATTTTTTTTTTGAGACAGGAGCCTCAAGCTATCCCCCTGGGTAGAGTGCCGTGGCATCTCAGCTCACAGCAACCTCCAACTCCTGGGCTCAAGCGAGTCTTCTGCCTCTGCCTCCCAAGTAGCTGGGACTACAGGCGCCCGCCACAACGCCCGGCTATTTTTTTTTGGTTACAGCCGTCATTGTTGTTTGACAGGCCTGGGCTGGATTCGAACCCGCCACCTTGGGTGTACGTGGCTGGCGCCTTAGCCACTTGAGCCACAGGCGCCGAGCCCAGGTATCTATTTTAAACATCAGCCAAACTATAAACTTAGGCTTTTTTTTTTTTTTTCATAAACTGGTACCAAGAAAAAGTACTAGATGTGACAGTATAAAAACCCACTTGGATATCACAATTCTAAGTTCTCTCTGGTACTCAAGACTCTTTGCCTGGCATTTGGAGCTCATGAGATTGAAAAGACAGTTTTGAATCTCTCCATGGTAATGGAACAAGAGTTCAGTATCACTGAGCAAGGGCTGGGAACACTTCAGTTAGAAGTCAGCAGCCCAGCCTCTGTTGTATTTAAAAAATATTGTGTCCTGGATGCCCCGACAGCCCCACAGGTAGGAGCCTATGTGATTATTGGTGACAACGACTGCCACTCGGGAGAAGAATAGAGACTGTGATCTATACTTCTTTAAGACTGTGATTTATATCAGCTTAATGAAGACTTTTTTCCCAAGAATGGGAGACTGGGGATGTGGGCAAATGTGCTTAGATCTGTTCTTTTCTACTTACTCATTCTCATTCTAATTTATTTATTCTTATTTCTCTTTTCACATCACTTGACACTAGTCTACTAATCCAATCTTTCTAGCCATTCAGCTGTATTTGTACAAAGTTGTTTATGGTGTACACCTTCTAGAGAAGTTCCAGACAGGGAGAATGAAGGAGCTCAGGAAATTTTAATTTTGAAGTAAAAGCCTTTTGAGATCCAAAGCATTGGCAGGGGCTTTCCCTGTATCTGCATAAATTGGACTGACCTGATCAAAACGTCAAAGGGGATGATTGACTTTCCCTCCTCTCCTTGTTATCTCAACAGTGTGCAGGAAGGAAGATCGAGAAGGCATGCAGGCTTGGCCCAAATTATTTAAAACATAGTACCTGTCTCTCAGGTTAATTTACAAGTCAATTTGTTCCTCCCAACTATTCATCCTCCCTAGCAATCACTTATTACCCCTAAACAGAATTACCTATTCTCCTTATTTTCCCTCTCCCCTCTAAAAAGGAGTGTATAAAAATACCTGAACTTCACTGGGATATTGGGTAGTCACTCTGTGAGTCTCCCCATGTGCCTGGTACATTAATCTTTCTCTTATTAATCTGCCTTAATTGTGAGTTGATCTTTCCTCCCTCCCTTCTTCCCTCCTTCCTTCCTTCCTTTCTTCTGTCATCCCTTCCTTTTTTATTCCTTTCTACCTTGTTTCTTTCTTTTTTAGAGTCTCACTCTTTCACTCTGGGCAGAGTGCCATGGCATCAGCCTAGCTCACAGCAACCTCAAACTACTGGGTTCAAATGGTCTTCCTGCCTGTCTCCTGAGTAACTGGGATGACAAGTTCCTGCCACAATATTGGCTATTTTAAAAAAATTTTTATTAGAGATGGGGTCTTTCTCTTGCTCAGGCTCATCTCAAACTCCTGAGCTCAAGCGATCCTCCTGCCTTGGCCTCTCAGAGTGCTAGGATTGCAGGTGTGAGCCACTGTGCCAGGCTGTGAGTTGATCTTTCAGTGAACTTTCCAGGGGAAGGGCAAATTTCCCCTCAGCCTTGCAGGCTCTTTCCAAGAAGAGTTCTCCATCACCAGGATGTGACTGAGGAGTCAGCTCATGCTCTGTAGAGTATGTACCACCCTGGGGTGATTCTGGCTCACAGTGGTCCTCCTCTTTTGAAGGGGTCTGTTCTTGGTGATCTATTAAGCAATCAGAGTGAGTGTTCTGGCTGAGTTCAAAACCAAGTTTTTTTCTTGGGTCTGCTTGGGGTTTGGCTGAGTTTTACCCCCATAGAGATATAATCTAAGCAAACTTCCTAAGCCAGCTAAAACAGCAATGACAACTGCAAAAAAGGAAAAAGAAAAGAAAAAAGGTATTATTTCATAGGTTGGGGGGAGTGAGACATAACTACTGTTATACTTTAATGCTTTTCTGAGTCTGATCACTTAAAGGGGTTCACATTCCTTATATAAAAAGTTTCAGTGGGTGGCGCCTGTGGCTCAAAGGAGTAAGGCACCGGTCCCATATGAGGGAGGTGGTGGGTTCAAACCCAGCTCCGGCCAAAAAATGCCAAACCCTCCCCCCCCAAAACAACAACAACAACACCAACACCAAAAAACAGTTTCAGGCTGGGTGTAGGGGTCCATACCTGTAATCCTACCACTTTCAGAAGCCAAGGTGGGAGGATGGTTTGAGGCCAGGAGTTCGAGACCAGTCTGGACAGCATAGTGAGACTTCATGTCAGTTCTAAAACAGTTTCTTTTCTTTTTCACTTTGCTTTCAGCCAGGACTGGGGTGGGCTCCTGGCCTGCAGTTGACGAAAAATGGCAGAGCCTGGATTAACATGGTCCCTGTGAAGGGCTGAAACCTCAGCTTCTGCCCTGGGCAAGACAGACTGTGGGAGCACAGATGTGCTGACCTGACCTGCAGGCCCTCGCTCAGACACACACACACCTGTGCACTCCCCACCCACATGCACCCCCCAGTCTGCTCACCTGCCCACTGCCTCACAGACTTCTCCCCCACACAAGCTAGCCTGCCTCAAGGCTGTGAGTTGATCTATTAAGCCCCAGAAAGCGTCAGCTCCCCAAAGTTTCCCCTAAATTCTCCTCGTGCCCTTTCCCTGGAACCCAGCACCCGAATAAGAGGGCATGGCTCACCCTGAAAGGCAGCATGAGGAGGGGAAAAACAAAAGTCCTTTTCTTCCATTCACCTTAGGCTTTCTGCCTGCAGCCCTGTAAATGAGATGGGCAAAAGACAGGTGAACAAGAGAAAACCAAACAAGTTTATTGACATGTGTGTTGTGGATACATGAGGGAGCACATGGTGATCCATAACTCACAGGGTTGGTTAGAACTCGGGTTTAAATATGAACAAAGGAAGGGGGTTTTGAGTTTTTGGGGTGGGGAGGCAAGTTCTGGGAAAGAGAGGGGAGGGGATGGAGGTGAATAAGGGTTATCTTGTTCTGCAGAGAAAAGTCTCTCAGTGACAAAAGTTGCCTCCAGGAACAGTTGTCTGACATCTTTGCAAAAAAAAAAAATTTTTTTTTTTTTTTTTTGGAAGCAGAGTCTCAAGCTGTTGCCCTGGGTAGAATGCCGTGGTGTCACAGCTCATAGCAACCTCCAACTCTTGGGCTTAAGAGATTCTCTTGCCTCAGCCTCCCAAGTAGCTGGGACTACAGGCGCTCGCCACAACGCCCAGCTATGTTTTGGTTGTGGTTGTCATTGTTTGGCAGGCCTGGGCTGGATTCGAATCCGCCAGCTATGGGGGCCAAGCCATCTTTGCAAAATTTTATAAATGGAAATTTCCTTCACAATAGGGGATACTTTTACAGATGGCCCTTGTTTTATGGTGGTATGTTCTTGACTTATGATATTTCCAATCTATGGTGGGTTTATCGTGATGTGACCCTATTGTAAGTCAAGGAGGGTACTGAGGCCACCATCATAAAGTCAAAAATTGTACATCTGACCACAGTAAGTCAGGGCAATTTGTATTCTATTATCAGGTAGTTGGGGCGGGGGGAGCTGTAGAGGTTTTCCTGTAGCTGCTGGTTCTCAATGATCAAATAATCCATGTGGCAAAGAGGCATATTGTAGGGTGGCACCTTGTGGTCCCTTCACAATTGAGCAGTAGAGCCAGGGTGCAGACTCCAGGCTTTCTGGCGGCTGACACTCTGCTCAGCTGCCTGTTTAGACAAACAACCTCCACACACCACAGCTACACGAACGTGCACATGAAGCACGCATGAGCGGGGCACAGCCCCATCATGGTGCTCACGTCTCTGCCCGCCCAGTTCCCATCCTCGAGGCAACACTCATCCCCACGCAGGTGCATACACCCACATGCCTAGGGTGCCCAGTCACACACACACACACACACACACACACACACACACGTGCTTGCCCTCCTAGGTTTCTATGGGCAAAGTCAAGCCTTCATACCTGGAACGGAAGCGGAGTCTGTGAAAAAGTCTGTAGCCAGTGCTGCCTGTACAGAGCCCACTCTCCCTTCATCCCTCGGCCACCTGCGGGGATCTTCTGAGTGCCATCCTGCCAAGGCTCTCCCATCACATGTCACCTGCCTGTCAGATGGTTATGATTCAGGAGCCTGAGGCAAGGCAGTAGCAGCAGGTGGGGGAAGGGGAGCCAGCCAACTGTGAATGGAGATGGGGGTCACTCAGCCCTGATCCCAGGATCTAGCAGGCAGGTGGGGGAAGACAGGCCTGAGCTGGCAGACCTGGGCACTGCTCTCACCGGTCCTGCAGGGGTGACGCTCCCTTCCAGAGATGAGCGCGGGGCCCTGGGCTCGCATCTGTGTTTGAATCCTTGACCGGCTTGGTGCCTGCCAGCTGGGTGGCCAGGGTATGAGTCACCTGACCTCGCTGAGCCTCTGATTTGCATCTGTCACATGGGAATAAGTACTACAAATTAATAAATTCCCCAAAATGTGTAAGCAGTGGCGCCCAGAGAGGAGGCTGCTGTGGAGATGTCCGGCCAGCTTTATTGGAAGAGGAGGGTGACCGGCCTGGGCAGTGCAAAGGTGGTGTCTGCACCCAGGGGCAGTTAAAGACCCCTTTATATGGGTGGGGTGGGCCAATTCCACAGCTTGCCTGGAAGGGTCCTTTCTCTCAAACTTCTGGGGGTGGGCTAACCAGATCCTTTGTGTCTTTGTCTTAGGAGGTGAGGA